AATGGTAAACGTAATGACTAGAATAACTTTTTTGTCTCTTAGTTAAGGAGAAATTACAATAATCCCCCTTGAACTAAGACTTCTTTGCACTTTACAATCTTAATGTTTAAAACTTGATGGGTCAACACATTAAAATATAATTTGTAGACACTAAACTCTTTCCATTAGCTACTTGAAGAAAATATATGATGTTCTTTGCGCATGCCATTATAAAAAGAATTTTTATGACTAAAATACCATCAACCATTTATGTGTTGTAGCCAACTAAGTTAAAAGATACAAAAAAATGAAGGCACACTGATTACCGAATAACCACTGATTACTGCTATGTGTTGTAACAACCCTCGTCACTGTTTACCGAATAACCACTGATTACTGCTAAACTGAGACCGATTATGATTGGTAACTGAATTGATTGAAGTTGATTACTGCTAAACTGAGACCGATTATGATTGATAACTGAATTGATTGAAATACTGAACTGATTGACTGAAATTCGGAACTGAATTAACTAAGTATATCTGTTGAATTGTATGTCTATCTGTTGACTGTTTAATTATCTGTTCAGTTCTTATGTTTAAATTGCGAATTGAAGGCCTTATCGGCGGCCGAACCAGGAATTGATTGATGTTTTAGGACCATCATAATTTATGTGATTTTATGGCATATTTATCTGAAAACCGATTTGGTATGATTAAATTAGGTTAAGTTAAGCCAAATTGCATGAGTTGACTTAATTACCATTTTGCCACCATTGAGTGGGCCACTTAGCCAACATACTTGAGCCTTGTTATACATGTAAACAAAACATTTCATCAGCCATTTCCCTTGTTATTGCCGACCAAGAGGGAGATAGGGAGAGAAGTGAGTGTTCTTGAGAGTTAGCTTAGAGAACTTGAAGAATTGAAGGATAATTGTCTAATTAAGCTTCTAGTCTTGTGATTCAAGACTTAGGTAAGGAAATTCAACCTCTCATTGTTGTGTTCAAATTGTTTCTTGCATGGTTTAGACCTAAGTTGAAGACTAGAGCCAACTTATGGCTCAAATTGTTGTGTTGAAGCTTAATTGTTGCATGCATGTATATATATTGAAGTTTTGAGGTTGTAGTTCATAATTCCTCACATGCATGTCCATGTTTTAAGAGTAGTCCATGATTTCATCATGTTTTTAGAAAGAATTGGCTCAATTGAGCTAGCATTTGAAGCTTTGAAGTGTTTAAATTCATGCATGTTCCATGTTCGTCTTGTTCATGAAATGTTGTTTGAAATTAGATTTATTCGAACTACCTTTGGGCCTTGATTTTACAATTGAGCTTTGGAATCATGTTAAACTATGAGTTTTGGGATGTTTTCTGGAAAATTGGCCCAAGAGGATCGAAATTTATGTTTTAAAACTTGGTTTTAAGCTTAAGGTTCGAATCTGGAATTTTCAAAATTTGGACTTACGCTCGAGCGGGGTGACTGGCGCTGAAGCGTGGAAATCGTGCTCCCAGCATTTTTGTTCTGTTTTGAAGTCCGCTTGAGCGGAAGAATTGACGCTCGAGTGGGACATTGTGCTTCATGCTCGAGCGGGTGTCGAGCGCCCAATCGAGCGTGATTTTCACCTATCCAGCACTTTTGACTGTTTTGCTGAACGCTCGAGCGGGTAATTATACGCTCGAGCGGAAACCTTTGTCTGCATGTCTGCTCGAGCGGAGTAACCTACGCTCGAGCGCGACCCCTGTTTTCTGAAAATTCTGAAAATGCTTTTAAAGTGCATCTTTGCATCCTCATCCCATTCTAGGCATTCTTAGGCCTAGTTTAAAACATCTTAATGAGGATATAGATGTAGAACCACACAGAGACAAATTAGGGATTAAGTTATTATTTTTCCAACTGTGTAGCTTAGTGTGTGTTCAATCTGTAACTGTGTAGGGTTGGCGACTGGGGACGCACTCTAGCTTTATTGTAGCCCAGAACTCTGTGAGTAACAACTGTGTAAAGATATGTTTAAAATGATTATCTTCTGAACAATTGAACTGTACTGCTTTCTGAACTGATACTGTTAATTGAATGAATGTATGTTCTATATTCTGAACTGTATTATGGCATCCTTAGCAACTACTGTTTACTGTTACTGTTATAGAGATATCTGTCGGTTCCTTTGTTGGAACCACTACTGTTTACTGATTGATGGCCATCATTTACTGTTCGGTCTTTTAAGACCTACTGTTTACTGTACTGTTATGCTAATGGATGTACCACATATGACTGAATGACTGATATACTGAATTAACGAACTGTTTTCATTACTGTAAGGACATTTATTCTTAATCTCTTTATGTATTACGTTATTCACTGGGCTTTAGCTCACTGCTCATATATATATGTAGGTATACAGGCACCAGACCGTGGCTAAAAGCGTCGGGGTTAAGCTCCAGTTTTGTCAAGCCAACCACTGTGCCTCACTGCGAGGTTCCGAGCCTGTCAAGTTATGGCTTAGGGGTGTTTTAGTTCCTCATTCTGTCTCTGTAACTGTTTTGTTTACTGTACTGTACTGTTTAATAGGGATTAGGTCCCTAAACTGAATGATTGTATATATGTACATACTGTTTTTTGTCCGACTGTATATATATTTGAATGAAAAGTCTTTTTGCATACAGACTGTCACAGCTCATTGGACATTGTTTATTTACTGTATTGGCTTCCGCTAGCCCCTGTACTCTGTATTACTATATTACTGTTAAGCAGGCCTTCGGTAATCTCGGATTACTGGCCGGTTACGGTGCTAAACCCATAGGGGCGGGTTTGGGTCGTGACAGTAGTCTAAATGATATGGTGATGGTAGCTTTGCTTGGCAGTGGTAGATAAGGGAATATATAAAAAGGTTTTTGGATAAATGAAGAGTGGTGACGATGAAGGGCATTTAGTAGAAAAAAAGTAATCAATAGAGAGAATGCGAGATGAGATAATGAGAGGGTTTGAAGAGGAATCAATACATACTAGTGGAAAAAAAATGAGTTAGTTTCATCGGTGGCATGCAAAGGGAAGAAGATATGACTACGGTGGGGTTTGACAATGAATTGATAAGTGGTAGTAAAGGGAACATAAGTTCGGTAGATTTGGTGGCGGTGGAAAGAAAATGAGGTAGCTATGGTAAGGTTTGAAGATGAATTGACAAATGATAATAGAAAGAATATGAGTTGGTTAAATTGGGTAATTTCAAAAGGAAAATGACATGATTATGATTGAAATATGAAAAGTAATTTAATAGGTAATAAAGGGAAAGGGTTTAACCCAAGCTGTTGTAGCATTGTGGTAAGGCCTAGGGGTTTAAGCCCCAAGGTCACAAGTTCAATTCTCCCTTTGGGCCAATCTCCTGGGTGAATCACTGTTGATTAGGAGCACTTGGTGTGGGTTCAATGCTCCCCTGCTGTGCGAGTCCTGACTTAAACGAAGCTTGTCTTGGGAGGTCGGGGTAAGTCCCCAGGTTATAGTCTCCTCGCTCGGAACTGTGCGAGTCCTGACTTAAGCGGAGCTTGTCTTGGGAGGTCGGGGTAAGTCCCCAGGTTATAGTCTCCTCGCTCGGAACGACTAACATGACACCTTGATAATCTCTGCAAGGGGTTACCTTGGACTTGCGGGAGGGTAGGGAAGATTTTCTTGTAAAAAAAAAAGAAAAAAAAAAAAAAGGGAAAGGGTTTGGTGTTGAGAGAAGATGAAGGGTGGTGGTGGTGAGCAGCAATCAATAGTGAGATTCCCTAGAAAATGATTTGGTTTTGGATTTTGTTCATTGTAAAAGATGGATTTGTTACGAAGGGATTTTTTAAAAAAGGGCAACCTTTTTTATGGAAGAGCAGCATAGCAAATTATTACTTGTTGTAAACAATATCCATATTGTCCTTATCATTTATATACTTTATAGGGTTTTAATTTTTAAATTTAAACATTAAAGCGTAAATGAGTCTTAATCCAAAGGGGTATAAAGTATTTTTTTTTTCTTTTTTTTTAAGTGTTGAAAAATTGAGAAAATAATTTTTTTTTCTTAAAACTCTTATTTCGTTTCTCATTAAAACATATGAGTTTTCATAATTGCACATTTAAATACAAAGTTAAAAAAAACAAGGGGGATGCACCAATAAATCCCAAATTAATAACTTATGCACTGTTTAGTCCTAAAAGTTTTCTTATAGACTGAAAGGTCCCATTACAATGTTAATAACATTAGATACAATGTTAATAATATCAGAGTCATGTTACAAACATTGGATTTCAAACATCTAATGTTCATCAAATTTCAATAATGTTTGAAAATATAGCATGAAAAACATCTAATGTTCATCAGATTTCAATAAATTTTGAAATTATAGAATGAAACATCAGATCATTTACATCATTCACATCATGTTAATGTAAAAATGGGACTAAATGGAGCATAAGAAAACTTTTAGGACTAAATGGTTCAACGTTTCAAAAACTAAGACTTATGGATAAATTTTCCAGGAAGAAAAACAAAAGGCATTATATTATATTTTATTTATATTCAACTAAATAAAATAACAAAAAATCACAACAATTTATTTATTTTTTACTTGATGCGAAACCAATTTATTTGGTTGCATTTTTGTTTGATTATTTTACTTCTCTGCAAAAATAGTTTTTACAATTTAATTTTTTTAATATTTCCCAAATAAAATTAGGTTGTTCTTAAAAAATAATATTGTTTTTAATTTTGTGCAAAAATAATTGAAAAAAATCACTTTTATTTTTTTAATTTTCTAAATAAAAATTCTCAAAGGGAGCTTTTTTGATAAATATATAAGGGCATAAGTGTCCAAGAAAATAGTGTAAATCAAGAAAATGGACTTTATGGAATAAAACTATACATACATGGGACTAAATGGGTTAAAAAATTCCTTCATGGACTTCTTGGGTTAAAACACTTCTAAATTGGACTTATCAATAAAAATCCCATTCTCAAAATATATAAAAAAAAAGTGGTCCTAATAATAATTTACCCAACGGACTGTAACAAGCTCTCTCTCTCTCTGTGTTGTGTGTGTCTTCTGGCTTAGGCTTAAAGTAGTAGGGTTTCTCTGACGTTCTCGTATCCATCTCTTTCTACGCGGCGTACGTTAGTCACCGCCGTACCTGTCTCACCCCTTCACAGGTAAGCTCTTTCATCTTTTTCCATTTCAATCTGATCTTCCAATCTCTCTCTCTCTCTCTCTCTAACAATCCCAAAAAAATCACTCTTTTAATCACTCTCTATGTTCGATTTATTACTTGTATTAATCACACTTGGCGATCGATCGTTGTTTGAGTATTTGTTTGTTGGTTATTGTGATTGTTTTTGTTGATCAGGTTTTGATCGATTCTCTATAGGGTTAATTGATTTTTTTTTGATCGTTTACTTTGAGATCGATCTCTCGGGGAGTGTTCGTACTACACATCGATTTGTGGTCGAGCAGAGAGAGAGAGAGAGAGAAAGGAAGAAAAAAAAAACTAGGTTTATAGTTTTGATGCGTTGTCGGGGTTTTGAATCTGCCAGATCGATTAGGGTTCGGTTGTTCGGACTCTGTGATGGCCAATCCCGGTGGCGTCGGGACAAAGTTTGTGTCTGTGAATCTGAACAAGTCTTATGGACCGAATTCCCATAATCACCCATCTTATGGACAGGTGTCGGCCGGGCGAGGCCGACTGGGTAGTCATGGCGGCAGCGGGGGTGGAGGAGGAGGAGGAGGAGGAGGTGGTGGTGGTGGAGGAATGGTGGTTCTATCGCGCCCTCGAAGTTCGCAGAAGGTTGGGCCGAAGCTATCTGTTCCACCCCCCTTGAATTTGCCTTCTTTAAGGAAAGAGCATGAGAGATTTGATATGTCTGGATCAGGTGGTGGGTCAGCCGGGGGTGGCGGTTCAGGGACTGGGTCGAGGCCATCTTCGTCTGGTCTGGGTTGGACGAAGCCTGGGACTGTTGCTTTGCAAGAGAAAGATGGGAATGTTACTGGGTTTGGGAGGTCAGGTGGTGAAGCCCTGGTAGTTGATGGCATTGATCATAACATTCATGATGTTGATGCTGTGGCTAAAGGCAGTACTGCCTATATGCCACCTTCGGCTCGGCTTGGTGAAGTTGGACTCCCAGTTTCTGTATCAGCTCCATCAGCTGCAAAAACTACAGTTTTGAGGGGAGAGGATTTTCCTTCTTTACAAGCTGCTTTACCTAGTGGTGCATCTGGGCCAGTGCAGAAACAAAAGGATGGTTTGCATAAAAAGCAGAAGCATGTAGGGGAATCATCCAATGGGCAGACGGGTAGTTCTCGTTTGAGTTCCCCGGTTCACACGCGTCCCCAGGGACAATCTTCTCATCATCATTCTTTTGGAAATGGAACAAATGAGAATGGTGGTGAAAATCACGGATTAGGAAGTTCACAAATGGCAGAGCAAGCTCGAAAGGACTACTTTCCCAGTCCACTTCCATTAGTTCGGCTGAATGCAAGGTCTGATTGGGCTGATGATGAGCGTGATACAGGTCATGGGTTTGCAGACCGAGGCAGAGATCATGGGTTTTCGAAAACTGAAGCTTATTGGGATAGAGAGTTTGACATGCCCAGGAGCAGTGTTTTACCACACAAACCGGCTCACAATCAATTTGAAAGGTGGGGTAAGCGTGAAGATGAAACTGGGAAGGTTTCTTCAGGTGAAGTCTCTAAAGTGGACCCTTATAACAGGGATGTAAGAACACCGAGCAAGGAAGGTAACTCATGGAGAACTTCCCCTCTGCCAAAAGATGGATTTAATGTGCAAGAAGTTGCAAATGATAGAAATGGTATTGGTGCAAGGCCAATGGGTCATAATAGAGAAATGGGAAAGGAGAATAAGTACGTCCCTCCACATTTTGGAGACAATTCTCATGGTGTTGCAGGAAACCGTGAATCTTCATTTGCAAGGAGGGATATGGGGCATGAACAAGAAAGAAGACATCAGTGGAATCACATGGTGGAATCATCTAGCAGCCGAGGGACTGAGCAGAATACAAGAGACCGATATGGCAGTGCACAGTCCAATAGATACAGGGGTGACGCTCTCCAGGATAGCTCAGTGTCAAAATTTTCATTTTCTTCGGGTGGTAAAGGGATTCCTATGAATGATCCAATACTGAACTTTGCCCATGGAAAGCGTTCATTTACAAAGAGTGAAAGAACTTATCTGGATGATCCTTTCCTGAAAGACTTTGGCACCACAGGCTTTGATGAGCGTGACCCCTTTTCTGGAGGTCTTGTTGGGGTAATTAAGAGGAAAAAGGATGTGGTAAAACAGGCTGATTTCCATGACCCTGTTAGGGAATCTTTTGAGGCTGAACTTGAGATGGTGCAGAAAATGCAAGAGCAGGAGCGGCAGCGAATCATTGAAGAACAGGAAAGGGCTTTGGAGCAAGCTCGGAGAGAAGAGGAGGAGAGGCAGCGACTGATTAGGGAAGAGGAAGAACGGCGGAGAAGACTTGAAGAAGAGGCCCGGGAAGCTGCTTGGAGGGCAGAACAGGAGCGGCTGGAAGCCATTCGAAGAGCAGAAGAGCAGAGGATAGCTAGAGAAGAGGAGAAACAGAGGATTATTATGGAGGAAGAGAGGAGAAAACAGGCTGCTAAGCAAAAGCTTTTAGAATTGGAGGCTAGGATTGCCAAGAGGCAGGCTGAAGTACCGAATGGTGATACTTCTGTGGTTGTGGATGAGAAACTGTCAGCCTCAGTGACTGAAAAATATGTTTCCAGGGCCATGGATTTTGATAACTGGGAAGATAGCGAGAGAATGGTGGAGAGGATAACAACATCAGGATCTTCTGATTTATCCGGTTTGAACAGACCCTTTGAGTTGGGTCCTAGATCTCAGCTTTCTAGAGAAGGTTCTTCTAGCTTTCTGAACAGAGGAAAACCTGCTACTAATTCATGGAGAAGGGATGTATTTGAGGATGGGAACAGCTCATCCTTCCTTATACAAGACCAGGATAATGGTCACCATGGTCCCAGGAGAGATGCCTCTGTTGGTGGGAGAGCAATTCCTAGGAAAGAGTTCTATGGAGAAGCTGGATATATGTCATCTAGGACTTACTTTAGAGGGGAATTGCAAGAACCTCGCACGGAAGATTTCACTTCTCTTAAAGGGCACAGATGGAGTTCTTCTGGGGATGGAGACGCTTTCGGCAGAAACACAGATATTGACCCTGAATTTCATGAGAATCTTGCTGAAAAATATGGTGACGTTGGATGGGGACAGGGCCGTTCACGTGGAAATCCTCGTTCTCCTTACCCAGAACGGTTGTATTCTGAGGCAGATGAACTTTTTTCCTATGGGAGGTCACGGTATTCCATGAGACCACCTCGTGTCCTGCCCCCTCCATCCTTAGCGGCTATGCACAAGACTTCCTTCAGAGGAGAGAATGAACATCCTGGTCCCTCAACTTTCCTAGACAATAATATGCACTACAATCATGCATCAAGAAGTGAACCTAACATCCAGAAAGGGTATTATGGTCAGCAGGAAAAGTTTGAAGCATCAGAAGTAGTTGATGTCCAGCCGGCGAATGGCATGACTCAGGAGCAGAAACTGGAGAAGAAGACCACTCCAAGATGTGACTCTCAATCTTCACTCTCTGTTTCTAGCCCCCCTAGTTCTCCAACTCATCTCTCCCATGATGACTTGGATGAATCTGGGGATTCTCCAGTGGTACCTGCTACGGATGGAACAGAGATTCCTTTGTCTGGGAATGAATCTGTTGTCTTAAATGCCAACTCTGGAAAAGATACCGTGGTGACAGCATCAAGTCCTATCTCTGCTGCTGATGATGAAGATTGGGCTCTTGAGAACAATGAAGAGTTGCAGGAGCAAGAAGAATATGACGAGGATGAAGATGGTTATGAGGAAGAAGATGAAGTGCATGAAGGAGATGATGAGCATCTCGACCTGTCTCAGGAATTTGAAGATTTGCATCTAGAGGAGAAAGGCTCATCCCATATGCTGGACAACTTGGTCTTGGGCTTCGATGAGGGTGTTGAAGTAGGAATACCTAGTGATGAGTTTGAAAGAAGCTCTAGGAATGAAGAAAGTACATTTGAGACACCAGAGGTTTCTGTTGGTATTATAGAACAGGGACCTGTTGATGGGATGCAAGGTGATGGGCATCTCTTTCAACCTTTGGATGGTTCTCCTCGAATATGTATGGATAGTTCTTCCATGAGGTTCCAAGAAACTGAAAAGACAATCCATGATTCTGTTGCTCAACCTATAAATACTGATGTTCATACCTCACCTGCATCTGATCTTTTGGATAGTGTGGATGGTTCTAGTAGTTCTGGTGTATATGCTCAGCATACAGTCACATCTTCAGTTCACATGGCATCTCATTCTTCGTCTGTTCAGACTGTCATGTCTACAGTACCTGCTGTTGGCTCTAGTCAAGCTGATTTACCTGTTAAACTTCAGTTTGGGCTGTTTTCTGGTCCTTCTCTGATACCATCTCCAGTGCCAGCTATTCAAATCGGGTCCATACAGATGCCTCTCCACCTCCATCCCCCAGTTGGTCCCTCCCTTACTCATATACACCCATCACAGCCTCCACTCTTCCAGTTTGGTCAGCTCAGGTATACATCTCCCATCGCCCAGGGAATCTTGCCAATGGCTCCCCAATCAGCTTCTTTTGTTCAGCCCCATTATAATTTGAACCAGAGCTCAGGGTTTCCTTTGCCTATTCAACCTAGTCAAGATAGTTATAATCTGATTAAAGATGATGTGCCATCTTTTTCAATGGACCAAGAAAGTAGAGAAAACAATGATTTGATACGGACGAGTCGAGCTGAGATTTCCCATGCTGGTGAGAACAAGGTTATGTCAGGTTCCCACACTCAAGATGAAGGGCACAACAATACAGAAGTGAATTATTATATGCCTGCATTAAATGGGACAGCATCAGGACACTTGCAAACTGGGTCTGCAGCATCCCAGTCTGTCTTGAGTGAAAAAGATTATAGAGGCTCAAAGGCTCAAGGCCCACAATCTGGTACCAGAGGGAAAAAATTTGCATATTCGTCTAGAAATTCTGGCATGAGATCATTTTTTCCGGCTCCTGAGGCTTCTCGTTCAGATTATAGTGGATTTCAGAGGAGACCACGGCGGACCGTCCAACGAACAGAGTTTCGAGTTCGGGAAAATGTTGATAGAAGGCAATCATCTGGCTTAGTTTCTTCTAACAACCCGGGGCTGGATGATAAGTCAAATTTCACTGGGAGGGATGTGGGGATTTTTGTAAAAAGTGGGTCTAAGAAAGGGTTGGTGGTTAATAAACCATTGAAGCACATAGTTGAACCTGAATGTTCGAGTGCAGATCCAGTAAGTTCTCAGGGGCTGGATTCTGAAACCAGGCTTGATAAGAAAATTGAAAAAGAAGCATCAACAACGACTCGGAGCATCACACGCTCTGGAGAAGGAAACCTGAAAAGGAATATATGTTCTGAAGAGGATGTTGATGCTCCCTTGCAGAGTGGCATTGTGCGTGTTTTTAAACAGTCTGGCATAGAAGCTCCGAGTGATGAAGATGACTTTATTGAGGTGAGATCAAAGAGGCAAATGCTGAATGATCGCCGTGAACAAAGGGAAAAAGAAATCAAGGCAAAGTCTCGCGTCACAAAGGTTTCAATGGACATCCAATTCCCAATTTTGTATCATATTTTTTATCTTTTGTATTTTTGTTGCAATGAATTGAATGCTACTTAACTACACTCTATTTCTTTATTCCAGGGACCTCGGAAACCTTTATCTACTGCACAAAATGCCGTGGTGTCAACAAGCTCAAATAAAATTTCTGCATCCTTGGGTGGTGAAGCACCAAATAATATGCGCCCAAATTTTGTTGTGTCTGAGGGGCGGGCCTTAGTGAACATGGAAGCATCCACAGGATTTGCCACTATGGTGTCCCAACCATTGGCTCCAATTGGCACTCCTGCTGTGAATTCTGATGTGCAGGCTGATAAAAGGCCTCACAATATCAAGTATGTGCCTTTTAATAGATATTAATTGTTACCCCCCCAAAAAGAAGTACTGTCTGTATACAGTTGGATGCCTAATGCTGATATGTTGTTCTTACAGGTCCCTCCAAACAGGCCCTACTTCTGTCTTAGCTAATGGTGGAAAAACCCTTGGCCCAGGCCTAATGTTTGAGACCAAGAACAAAATTCTGGATAATGTTCAAACACCTTTGGGCTCTTGGGGTAATGCACACATTAATCAACAGGTATGTGAAACCATTGCCCTTTGCTCAATAGTGAATATCTGTTCCTTCTACTATTATAGGGTTGTTGTAGCTGTACTGCTAGCATTGATCGATGTCCCTAGGTTGTTCTTCCTTTCCTTCTATATCTACATAAATTGTTTGAATATCCTTTTGTGAAAAACAGGATACTATCGATGTTGATTACTTTGTATTGTTTTAGTTTCATATAAGCAGGGCTTCTCCTTTTTGGTTTATTTTTTGTTGTCTCCTTCTGATGGGGTGCGCCCAGCTGTGTTTATAGAGCAATGCCAAGGCAATATTGGAGGACCCCAGCTGTCAGCTACTGTGGTGGCCCTCTTTTTGAAAAGACGAGTTTGATATCATGTGGAATGATGGTCCTAGCGTTAAACATTGACCACCTAGGATGATCTTATACTACTATTATTTTTTTGTTGCACCTGAACGTAATGCAGTTTGCCGTTTCTTCTAAGTGAGGCCTAATGATGTTGGACAGCACTATGGTACTTATAATGCTGCCTATGGTTACTTATATGGTGGTTTAACCTATGAACTTGTAAGAACAGGGTTTGTAAAATGTTGAAGAAATAATGTAGTGTCTAGAGGAGAAGTGACTGGAGTTTGGCTTTATTTGAAAGTGAGAGGTTGCAGGAATTTCAGAATGCTGTGTGGAAATTTTAGGAAAAAAGTACTTATGGGTTTTGGAGTCGATTTAAAGTCCAAATTAATAAGAAAATGATTAGCTTATGGAATATAGGCTTTGGAATGAAACAAAAGAAAGAAACTAAGGCAGATTTGTGATTGAAATAACAGAATCTAATAGCAGAGAATTAAAGACAGAAGAAAAGGAAGGAGAAAGAGGAAGAGAAGGATCTTATAGGAATCCCACTTAGATTCTTTAGGAATTACTCTCCAAGGTTGGGTTGCATCACAAATAGCACTATCTTTAATTATCAAAATCCACTCTACTGAGTTGAAGAATAAGTATTGCTATATTTAGGTTGCTAAACTCCTACTTCTACTAAGATTAGGATCCCAAAAGTGGAAAACTTGACCTGCAACACAATCCTCGACCCACATTATAGACCACATGTGAGCGTTAAATGATTTGGTTGATCAAGAACATGGCCTGTGTACTTACTATATCACAGGCCAATTTAAAAGTGACCAGAAATGTAATGACTTGAGAATAAACATAAATACTCAAAATTAACCCAAATTTGATTATGTAAGGTTTGAAGCATGCCCATGTGAAAATCTCCAATTTGTACCTTTACTTATTGTGTTCTACATCAACAATTGTGTTAGAGCCTGATAGGTACACACGTTCTTCAGGACAGTTTGTTTATCTGGGGTAATGAGTTCTGGCTGATTTTACACTGCCTCTTTGTTTGTGTCCTGCTCCTGCTGTTCTTTCTTTTTTCATTTCCTCTTCATGTTTGAAAAGTTTGGAATGGGGAAGAATTGTTGTTTCCTTCCTCCAGGCTCCCAGCTAGTTTGTTCTGATTTCAGGCAATGCACAAGGGAGAAAATTGATTTGCTACTGCTTTTTTAGGAGAACTTAGCTATTGAATGCTGTTATAATATGTGCGTGGAAATTATTGCCTTGTAACCAAAAACAAGTGCTCAAAACCTGCTATCAACTTCTACTTCTGGAAGTGACATCTTGTGTTGTTGTTTCTGGAAGCTAAAGAGCTTTGAGTGGCTGGTTTTTAGTCACTGTTGCATTTTAATGGCATAGCTGCCTCACCCCAAAAGAAAAAAAATGAGAAAATAAAGAAACAGAGGTTGTGACCTATGTGATGCCAAGAGCTATCCTTCCCAGCATTGTGGCGCGTGTTTGAGACATGGGAATTAGGCTCTTCACAAAAGTGGGGCTACGGCTGCCTGCATACTATCTATCCCAGATCCTACTTTGAGACTTATGAACTGGGAACTGGGTATGACCTTTTTAAAAGAAAAGAACGAAATGCATTGGCAGAACCATTATTACGACTTTTTCATATACATTTCCAATAATGTGCAAGAGTTCAGAAAAAAAAAAAAAAAAAAAGAGGCAGCAGAATATGTGAGTTGGTTAATTCAACTTGTTTCAAATATGAAATATATCCTAAGATTACTGGAGTCTTGACCTAGTTTCTAATTTGGATTAATTCAACTTGTTTCTAATTTTAATTGATTCTTTTGGGTGTTGTTTGTGCTGTTTGCCACTGGACATAAAAATTTACTACAATTTATTTGTTATCTATGTTGTTATGGCTCAGTGAATATGCCAAGAGAGTCCTGAACTAATGTACTTGTACATTTTAGGTTATGGCCTTAACACAGACCCAACTTGATGAGGCTATGAAGCCTGGTAGATTTGACACACATGTAACTCCTATTGGAGATCATACTAGCTCAGTGACTGAACCCATCATGCCATCGTCATCCATCTTGACAAAGGACAAGTCATTTTCTTCCACGGCAAGCCCAATCAACTCCCTATTAGCTGGGGAGAAAATTCAATTCGGTACACCATATACATCCAATGAAGCTCAAGTATTTTCTCTAGTTGGTTTTTTTTCCCAGTCTCTGATGGAATTTCTTCCTATCCTCAGGTGCAGTTACGTCTCCAACAGTCCTCCCCCCTGGTAACCATGCTGTTTCACATGTAATTGGGGCTCCTGGTTCCTGTCGGTCTGACATCCAAATCCCACATAATCTTTCTTCGGCTGAGAATGATTGTACTCTATTTTTTGAAAAGGACAAGCACCAGAATGAATCACGTGTTCATTTAGAAGATTGTGAGGCTGAAGCTGAAGCAGCTGCTTCAGCTGTCGCTGTTGCGGCCATCAGTAGTGATGAGATTGTTGGGAATGGGCTGGGTACTTGTTCTGTTTCTGTTTCAGATACCAAAAGCTTCAGTGGTGCAGATATTGAAGGAATTACTGGAGGTGTTATTTTCTTTAATTTTCCCCTCCTTTGGGCAGTCTTAGCCTGTTTTGCTTCTTTTTATGGGTAGCTTATTATTATTAAGATTATTGTATTGTTTTGAAATCTCTTGCAGGTGTGGCAGGTGATCAGCAATTAGTAACTCATTCGAGATCTGAAGAGTCTCTCAGTGTAGCTCTTCCAGCAGATCTCTCTGTTGAGACTCCGCCAATCTCATTGTGGCCTCCTTTACCAAGTCCACAGAATTCTTCAAGCCAGATGCTCTCTCATTTCCCTGGAGGCCCACCTTCCCACTTTCCATTCTATGAGATGAACCCCATGTTGGGGAGTCCTATCTTTGCTTTTGGTCCACATGATGAATCTGCTGGCACCCAATCACAGTCCCAAAAGAGTACTGCATCTTCTTCAGGGCCTCTTGGTACCTGGCAACAGTGCCATTCTGGTGTGGATTCATTCTATGGTCCTCCACCAGCAGGATTCACGGGTCCATACATTAGTCCTGCTGGAGGTATTCCAGGGGTCCAAGGTCCCCCGCACATGGTGGTATATAATCATTTTCCAGTTGGACAATTTGGCCAAGTTGGTTTGAGTTTCATGGGCACCACTTATATCCCCTCTGGAAAGCAACCTGATTGGAAGCACAATCCCACATCATCTGCAATGGGTATTGGTGAGGGGGATATGAATAATATGAACATGGTTTCCTCTCAGCGAAATTCTCTCAACATGGCTGCTCCTGTCCAGCATCTTGCCCCTGGGTCGCCGCTTCTTCCCATGCCATCACCTTTGGCCATGTTTGATGTGTCTCCATTCCAGGTAAAAGATTTGGCGGCGAAGCTTCATATATAAATCTGATCCTGCTGTTAAAATCATAATTATTTGCTTTTAAAAAGTTTTGGTACTTTGGATTGCTTTGAAGTCTAAAATTTAGGTGGATGGCATTTCGAATTTTGAAGATTTTTATCCTAGGTAGACTTTTTTCTTTGCTAGAATATGCTGTACAGTATGAGAACCTCTAGTCTGTGTTTGAATCAATGATTTGAGGGATTTGCACACAGAAAGGAAATAGAAAGGGAAAAGTGAATGAAATAGAAGTTAAATTTTTGTCACATTTCCCTTTCCCTTTCCTTTCTTTCCACAAATACCAATCGTGGATCCAAACACAGCCCAGTGGTTTGTGGAAAAGATGGTTTCAAATTAAACTTTGGTTTTACAAACAATGGAATTTCTTCAAAATCAGTTATAAATGCAAAAGAATTGCCAAAAAAAAAAAAAGGGTTAAGGTTTTATTGTCTTATTGTTAGCTACCGTCAGTTCTTATCTGACATAACAGTTTGGTTGAATTTTTTGACTCAGTCTGCCCCCGACATGTCAGTCCAAGGACGATGGTCCCATGTTCCTGCATCGGCCCTTCACTCTGTTCCTCTGTCGCTGCCATTGCAGCAACAGGAACCAGGTGTACTGCCTTCACAGTTTAGCCACGGACACCCTGTCGACCAATCATTAAGTGCCAACAGGTTCTCTGAATCTCGAACATCAACACCATCTGACAGTAGCCGGAATTTCGCCATGGCAACTGATTCGACTGCTACCCAATTCCCTGATGAACTAGGTTTAGTAGACTCATCAAGCTCAACCGGTGCAGGGGCATCAACACAGTGTGCTGTCAAGAAGAGCTCTTCTGGAGGCACTATTGCAGATGTTGGCAAGACCGATGCTGTTCAGAATGTCGGCAGTAACAGTGGTAATAATGGCCACGCCTCAAATGCTTTCAAGACTCAGTCTGGTCAGCCCAAGAATTTATCTGCTCAGCAGTACAGTCATCATTCTTCAGGATATAATTATCAGAGAGGCGGGATTTCTCAAAAGAATAGTTCCGGGGGTGAATGGGCCCACCGCAGAATGGGGTTCCATGGACGGAATCAGTCTCTGGGTGCTGAAAAAAGTTATCCCACTTCAAAAATGAAGCAAATTTATGTGGCGAAACAGACCACGAGTGGGACTTCTTCTACAGTGGGTTGAGCAAAGGAAAAAGTGGCTTTCTCAGATTGCAGTGAGCGAAAGGATCAATCATATGATTTAAAGCATTTCCATCCTAATTGAATACTTTGGTAGTTTTTGGCCACATCTTTCGCACTAGTAGAGTTTTATGAGTGTCTTGTCTAGGTTTGGTTTTTGTTTGACCAATATTTGTAGGTGGGCTTTGCTGGTTTATGATCAACATCGTTTTTAGTACTGATCAGTGGTAGCAGTTTTGAATGGGTCTTCAAGTGGTAAGTAAAGAAGGGTTTGGTGCAGCATATGCTAGAGGATTGGCTGCTAATTGGTCAATGGCATCTAAATGGTGTGTGACAGAGGCCTTGCCCATCGTCTCCTGTTCTTTTGCTTGGCAGCAAATTTACTTTGCTGGATGTATTAAAACTATGAAGAACCAACAGATAATTATTCGTGTTAGTAATGATGATACGTGGGAACATGGGCGGAGCTATGCATGAACCCATTTAACTTTAATTTTTTTTTTTTTTTTAGAATTATGTAGTATTATATAAATTTTTTGAGAGGTTTTCATAAATTGGCATTAATAAAATTGTTCAAAAAAATATATTTATCAACAAAAAAAATTCGTTTAAAAAATAATTAATTTTATGTTTAACATAATTTTCTGTCATTTTTGGTTTAGCACACATAGTTATTAATGGTTGAATATGAATATAAATGAGATATATGGATGTTATTATACCAATTATTGTGTATGTCTTTTTGGGTGAATAATCATTGTGTACATCACATATTAGACATCATGTAAAAATATGGCGAGTTTAGATATCATGCAAAAATATGGTGAGTGTAGTCTCATTTACATAATAAATATCACGATATTATTTTTTTTAATGATGTTATCGAAAAAAAAAAATCGTACATAATTTATGTATAAAATGATGTAGTTTTATAAGAACCTTTCATTTTAAAATAAAACAATCACAAAGATGTTTCTTTATTTATAGCATAATTTTTGTGTTTTTTTTTTTTTTGGGGGTACAAATTTTATGTATAAATAGAATTTATATAAAAGAAAAAAGAAAGAAAGAAAAAAGAAAAATAGACTTCTTTTAAAGTACAAAATTATTAATTCCTTACAAAGGCATTTTTTTTTTGTTTCTCAAAAATAATTATTTTGTGCCTCTATTGATTGATTGAAAATCACAATCTCATTATTTTTAATTTTATTGAGGAAATATTAATGTACCTAAAAGTATTGTTGAAGGTGATCTGACTAGTTTGAATTATTTTGTAATATTATTATATATGATATTTCAGTTTATTTATAATAAATATGTGAATTTATTTTGATAAACATTCTAAAATTAAAAATATGATGCAATGACATAACTGATTAAATGGTTACTGAATTTTCTTGGTTACGCTGCTGTCTACACAAAATCTGCCCCCATAAGAGGGTTGAAACATTGGATAATAATGAAAAGATTTCAGAACCTCCCAAAAAAATTTGAGAGAAAGAAAAATATTGTACAAAATTAAAAAGATCAATTAAACTGATTGAATCGGATCAAATTGACTACATTTGATTTATTTTTTAAGAAGAATTGGTCCATGCGGTTTTTAAATTTCATTTTTTTTTTCAATTTTTAATTCAATATCAATTCAAACATCTTGTTTACCAAATCAAACCGAAACCGATCATTTCAACATATATTATATTTATAATATATATATATATATATGTATATAATCTAATAATATAATGATATTAAAATTATAATAAATTATTAATTTTATCATCTTTACAATCTAAGTTTGTAAACTTGGGAAGGTGGGTTGGAGGCTTTTTTGGCTATTTTAGCCACAAAAAACAAAATAGGCTATTTTAGCCATAACAAACAAAACATCACATCCAACCCATAATCATTACATTCTTCTCTCACAAAAAAACTCAAAAAAGCCAAAAAGCCAAAAAGTCCTTCCCAAACCAAGCTTTTAAGCCCAGGCTAAAATAGCCAAAAAAGCCAAAAAGCCAAAAAGTCAACCCACTTCCCAAACGGAGGCTATATATAATCTTAACTCTAACTCATTATTCTTAAAACCTTAGTATTTTTTAACTTTTTTGTTTTGTTTTTGTTTTTTGTTTTTGTTTTTGTTTTTTTTTTGTGTCAATTTAGGAATTGAAAAGTATTTATTAAATTGATGGATTATATATGTTTGAAATGGTAGACAAATAACTAACTTAATATTTTTATATAGATTAGTAATTATATTTAAAAGTGACTCAAATTTGAAAGATCTTAAGATGATTAAACCGCACCGAACCGAATTATTTCAATCGGTTCGTTTTGGTGTGGTTTGATGGGAAAAGTGGTCTGTATCGATATTCAAAATAATAAAATCGATATTATCATTTCAATAATTTTTTTTACCTAAATTCCGATCGTACCAAACCGATTGCATCCGACTCAGATCAATTTGTAGTACAGGTGGTTTGCACCTTTCATGTTTCAATCATTGTAATACTTGGGGCTGAAAATGGCAAGAGTCAAGTCAACTAAGTAAGTTATTTAAGCTTGATTTAATAACTTAGCCTCCGTTTGGGAAGTGGGTTGGCTTTTTGGCTTTTTGGCTTTTTTGGCTATTTTAGCCTGGGCTAAAAAGCTTGGTTTGGGAAGGGCTTTTTGGCTTTTTGGCTTTTTGGCTTTTTTTTGTGAGAGAAGAGTGTAATGATTATGGGTTGGATGTGATGTTTTGTTTGTTGTGGCTAAAATAGCCTGTTTTGTCTTTTGTGGCTATTTTAGCCCCAACCCACTTATGTTCAAATTTAGGGCTAGTTTGGCATGTACTAAATAAGTCAAAAAGTCAAAAAGTTACTATCTTATTTAAGTCACATCATCTTATTTAAATCACATCACCTCTCTAACACATCACATCAAACCCAATCCAAACCCAACCCAAACCCATTAATAAGTCAAAAAGTGCACTTTTTTAGGACATCCCAAATCAACCCTTAATTTGTTTATATAATGAGTTGATCTTGAATAAACTGTTAATCAGCCGAATACAAGTCTAACTCGAGTAGTTTGATTTTTATAATTCATATAAGCATTTTTAACTACATCATAAGGCCCAACTTTATTTTGAGGTTGTTTCCAAATTGTTTGATCCAACATGCCCACTCCATTTTTAGATTCCAATTGGTATTTCAAATCCATTTTTTTTGTCCAAATTTTGCAAGATGCCTAATCCCTTGAATTATTTTATCTTGTGTTTTCATAATATTAATTTTGTGCAAATTTCTTTCCCAATTTCTCATTTAGGGGCAATATTATCTTCATTGTATGATGTTCATGCCGATAAATTTTATGCACACTCCATTTTCACAATGTTCATTTCATGCCAATTTCTCGTGTTTGCATTATGGATAAATTTTATGCATGCATCTCTATTGTTGCACTATGCATCATCTTGTGCACCCTTGATTAAAGTCACATTTTTTACATTTTTAGTAAAATCGTTTGCTCAGGGATTTTTGCACGATAATTTTGTACAATGCGTCATTCTATTTAGATTTCAACAATAACTAATGTCTTGAAAATAATTAAGGTTGTTCTTCCTTAAATATCAATCTTCAACGATTCAATTTCACTTTTATATCTAGATTGTACATCTTTGAATCTGCATAGGGTTGACTTTTACTTTCATATTAGGAACATCGAATCACTTAGATTCAATCTTATAATTAATTGTGGATATGCTTGTAAACACATATATACATGGGTGTCGTTGGTGTAAACAAATCATCAAAAAAAAAAAAAGTTCTAGTATGTGTTCTCAATTTATCTTTCTTATTACTATTTTGAGTTTTACCAATTTCAACTAAGTCTTCGGTTGGATGTAGATTGAGTTTTTAATTATTTTAATCTGGGGTTAAAAAGTCTCGTTTGGAATAAATTTTTTGATTTTTTTTTTACTTTTGTGAAAGAAAAAATAAAATAATTATAATTTAAATATGATATTTTATTTTATTGACTTTATATCTTATTTTATCTTTTTATAATTAAAATAATTAAAAAAAACTCATGCCAAACATAAAGCACTTGCTAGAATTCTTATACCTAGCTACCGAGAAGTCAAAGAGTGCAAGTAATGTCACATGCAATAGTTTTCTTTTCCAAGGTACAACGTCCAATATATCAAAAAATATATTATTATTTTTATACAAAATTATCATACATAATCTATATATATTTTAAATTTTATTATTTCACGTTATTCCGTAACGACGTATGGCCTTCGGTGGACATGTTGACTTGGGAGTTTTTTTTTTTTTTTTTTTTTTTTTTTTTTTTTTTCATTTGGACATGTTGGGTTGGGAGTTTTTTATTTTTTATTTTTTTGGCTAAAATAGTCATAAAAATATAAAATAGACTAAAGTCAATAAAATAAAATGTCACATCTAAAGTGTTAGTGTATAATTATAATATTAATATTAGTGTATAGCTTTAATTATTAGCACTTTACTTTATTCTTTATTCTTTATGCTTTCGGTGAGCATCCAATGCACCATAATTCTCTCTATAAAGAGAGTGCCTTTTCTTTGTAATACACATATAGTTTTGACAGACAAACTACAATTCATTGTCTCTCTCTCTCTCTCTTTCTATCCTCTCTCACTTTCTCAAACTATTATTTCATGATATCAGAGCCCAGTGTTACATTTCTGGCAATTTTCGATTTTGGTGTTTAGTCCCGTACACAGTGGCACTACATCAAACCGCTCAGAATTTCCTCACGATTCCAACGGCACCAAGCCCGTCTTCAGAAAACCTTCCACGCGCCCACACGCGCCGCCTTTGTCCTCTGCGCGTCACCAATTCCGCCACCACTCTCGCACGCGCCCGCACGCGCCATCTGTTGTTGCTCACTTCCGCCACGCGCCCACACGCCCGTGGCTGACGTAAGCCCTGCCTCTCCCGTACGCCGCGCCTGCTATTGTACGCCTCTCGTGCACCGCTTCACTAGTGTGCACCCGCGTGCGCCAAAACAGCTACCGTGCGCCGCGCCCGCGCCTGACCACTACCGTGCGCCGCCGCTTCCTGCTAACGTGTTCCTCCTTGCACTCTGCTAACGTGCGGCGCTGACAGCATTGCTGACATCATCTCTGTCCAGCATACCTTTCCTTGCTATTTTCGCCCTTCCAGACTCACTGGTACACTCTGTTTTACCTAATTTTGCTCCTACAGGTCTATTCCTATTACTTTAAACCCTACTCAACTAGTATTATGGATCGTCATGATGTCTCCCATCCCATTTCCGTTATTTTGAATGGTTTAAACTATGTTCTGTGGGCCCAAGCCATGTCCTCCTTCCTCAAAGGAAAGAAGCTCTGGCGAATTGTCACCAGGGATGTGACTAAACCAGTGAAAGACAGTGACACTAATGAAACTACTACTCCTATTGCTACATTTGAAGACCGACTTGAGGAATGGGACAGTAAGAATTAC